AGTAAAAAATAAATGACTACAGAACTAAAAACTCCATGTTCAATTATTAGATGACATGATAATCAATACAGATCTCTTAGCACCTACTTTCTCATAATTAGGATCTTAAATAATTATAATAATTACTACACTGGTAATAATTATGTTTGATAGAAATGTTCATTTAGAGAAAGGACAGATATTTTCAAATATTCAGTATGAGTCACTATCATCGTTTTCCCAACAAAGATACTCCTAGATATCAACCTGAACTCATTAATTATAAAGAAATAAACCTTGCCCTAGCTGGTTTGTCTCTGGATAGAGCATCAGCCTGAGGACTGAAGGGTCCCAGATTCAATTCTGGTCAATGGCATATGCCCAAGCTGCAGGCTTGATCCCCAGTAGGGGGCATGCAGGAGGCAGCCGATCAATGATTCTCATCATTGATGTTTCTATCTCTCTCTCCCTCTCCCTTCCTCTCTGAAATCAATAAAAATATATTACAAAAAAAAAGAAATAAACCTTTTGTTAGCTAAGTAATTGTCAATAAAATAGTCCTAAAACATCACACCAGGCAAACTTTGATGCCCTGAAAATTCAGAGAATGCTGGGGTCCAACCCCAGCAGGTCCAGAGGTCCCCAAAGATGTGGACGGAGTCGGCGAAGAAGGAATGACACGGAGACAGCGTTCAGTTGATCAGCAACCTTGCCAGGATCTCTAGCCACAATCTCCAGCCAAGTTCTGTGTCCATGTCCTCTTGCTAGGTTCTCCAGCCAGGTTCTCCAGGTTCTCCAGCCAGGTTCTGTAGCCATGCTCTCTCGCTAGGTTCCCAGCCTGGCTTGGTCTATGCTCTCCAGCCAGGTCCCTCCATAACTTCAGGGGGAAATCCCTTCCTGGGGAAACAACCTTTCTCAGAGAGGTGACCTTGGTTAAAACACAGCGCCAAGAAGGTGAGCAAACATATTAAGAACAGTATTCCATGTATGCCAGGTCCCTTGAAACAGCAAGGATGGACCGGCTCCCGGCAAGAGAAAGCATTCTATGCCAATGTAAACAAGGAAATCTGTAATTAGAGGCTTGTTACTTTGACCATTATTTCAATCTCGTATTTTCAGATGATTTTATCTTAAAAGCATCAACCAAACTCATCAAATCAGCAGAACCAAATATAGTCTTAATCACTTTGCCATCAAAGACAAGACCTGACCCTGTTTGGAAAAAATGGTAAGTTATGGAAAGGAAAACAGTTAGTTTTAACAGATCACTATCAAAATGAGTAGACATCAACAAAGCATTCTGTAATAATCTCAAATATTAAACTATGGCTTGAGGATTTTAAAAAGTTGCTGTCCAATTGATTGTACCCTGTTGTGGAAATGTCAACACTATAAGCGAATAAAAGGCTACGATTAGAATGATAAGCACACCCAGGTGTGAAGAGAGGCTTACCTGATGCACCTATTGGGGAGGTAGCTGGGGTCATGTTGTGGACATTGAGACCAAGACTCTGGGAGGGGCCGGGGGCTGATGCCGCTATCGGGGGCCCCGGAGGGTTCTCCCTCTGGGGAGAGGTGAGCGGGGTGGTCGGCTGGGAGGTCTGTCCACCAGCAAGTCGAGCCAGGCGCCTCCGCCGTATCTGCGGGGAAAGGGCACATGTAAGTAAACAGCAGGAACACTGTCTGCGGAGAGGAACACCAGCGTTATCAGTAACCGCACTAGAGCCGAACGACTAAATGTGCCTTGAGAATAAAGTATCCACTTGAGGAAAGTATTAACTCCGTGAACCAGTATTTCTGCAAGCCACCACCTCACTTTTTAAAAACTGCAGCACACAATTATTTTAATTCCACCCGGCCGGCATGGCTCAGTGGTTGAGCATCGACCTATGAACCAGAAGGTCACACAATTCGATTCCTGGTCAGGGCACATGCCCGGGTTTCGGGCTCCATCCCCATTCGGGCATGCAGGAGGCAGCAGATGTACGCTTCTGCCTCATCACTGATGTTTCTATCTCTCCCTTTCTCTGAAATCAATAAAAATATTTTTAAAAATTTTATTTTAATTCCTAAATTCTACCCCAAACCAAACGTTAAATTAGATACGAAGGTAGAATAAATACATTTTCACACACTCACACCCACAAATAAATAAAACTGCATCTTACTCGCCTTACTCATCTTATCTGTTCATCACACTGCCTTGACTGATTTTGTGAATTTACAATTAACACACCACACTTTTAAACACACTAAAGCTTGTTGTTATTTTAATAAAACTATGTAACATGGCCATTTTAATCACTCAAACAATGACAAAGTAACAAAAATTTTACTAAGACACAAATTTTACTTATCACGTTCCAGAGCACAATGATTAGATTTTAATTTCAATAAAAATGTAACCTACAACTTCTTCCTTATACCAATATCCCAGAGTTATGAAGATATTACAATTATGTCCACGAAATCCCAGTGGATCAAAGAACCGCTTCTCCCGTGTTGAGAGTCATTAAATTCCTAACCAGTCAATACTCTCAGTGACCACCTGCTGTCCCAGGCCCAGAGGACGCGTGACAACAAGGCTTCCGCTCTATGCAGGCCTCAGAGAAGCAAAGCAACCAGGCTGCTCACTCTTTACATGAGGAATAAGGAAGGGGACACATTACGTATGACAAACGTTATCAGGGAGGGACCTCATCTGAACTGAGAGGCGCGCTGTCACTGTAACATTGTAGGAAATCTGCTCCTTTGCTGTTCAGGCGACCACAGCATCCTGATTCCGGACCCCACGCTCAGAAGCCCCCCATGTGTCCCTGCAGCAATACAGCTAACCATGAACTTCTACGAAAATGAAAGCAGTATTTGTCCATCTGTGTTCACAGCAGCACTATTCCCAATAGCCACGAAGTGGAAGCAGCCCGAGCGTCCATCACAGATACATGGATAAATAGAACGTGGTGTGTCCGCACAATGGGATCTTATTCAGCCTTAAAGAGGAGGGTGATTCTGACGTACACACCACATGGTGAACTTTGAGGACATTCTGTTACGTGACAGAAGCCAGTCAGAGAGAGACAAATGCTGTGCGCTTCCACATGAGGTGCCCAGACTAGGTGAAGTCACAGAGACAGAAAGCAAAATGGAGATTGCCAAGGGCCAGGGAAATTTTAAAAATCTAAGTATAGAATAAAATCCTAAGTGACGCCCTGAGTGGTTTGGCTCAGTGGATAGAGCGTCGGCCTGCGGACTGAAGGGTCCCAGGTTCGATTCTGGTCAAGGGTATGTACTCTAGGAGTCTTTCTAATTACAAATGTACTACTCTTTGTAATATTTTAAGCAATAAAAATAAATCAATAAATAAAAAATTTTTTTTAAAAATCCTAAGTGACAAGAAAGGGTAGCATGCTGTCATAGTCCCTCCTCCCACCCTCTCTCCGCACCGCACGCACAGGAATTCTTTAGAATCACCGGTCACTCTCCCGCGTACACCCGCAGCGGCTCTGCGCTGTCCTCACTGCGCCAACGGCTGCCTCCGGGCGCATGGCATCCCATGCAGCCATGCGGGCCTCTGACATTTACTAGAACATCGGAAACTCCATCTTATCTCTGGCCGCTTGATAGTCCTTTGGCCTCTGAGCACTTTCTCTCATTCTTGGCATGGCTGGTTCTTTCTCCTCCTTCCATTCTCAGCTTGAATGTCACCTGCAGGATTCCCCCGCCCTGGCATCTAGCACAGCCCTCCGGGCCACCCTCACTTGAAGTCACAGGTCTCTGTTCACATCCTTCACGCTCTCCTCATGGACTGCTAATACTTACCTTTCTTACTGTCTTACTCTGTTTCCCTAGTGCCGTGGTCGGCAAAGCGCGGCTCACGAGCCACATGAGGTAAAATACCATGTGCGGGCGCGCATGTACAGTGTGACTGAAACTTCGTGGCCCATGCGCAGAAGTCGGTATTTTGTGGAAGAGCCACACTCAAGGGGCCAAAGAGCCGCATGTGGCTCGCGCGCCGCAGTTTGCTGACCACTGCCCTAGTGGAATGGAAGCTCCATGAGAAAGCCATGCCTACCTTGCTCATGCTGTATCCCCAGCTTTGGGCACAGTGCCAGGCACATAACAGCTCTGTACATACTGACCAACGGGAGAAATTAATACACAGAGTTGAGGGAGGCCAAGGACCAAAACCACACACGTGTTTAACTGAGTATTCAAAACCCAGGCGGTGCGTCATCTTCTAGCCCTGACTCCTCTTCAGCTACACATTCAGCAAACATCGTGAGCACCACAGTAACCTAAGCAGTTCCGCTCCCACGGGGCTCAGGTTCTAGAGGCCCAAGGACAAGAGCCGAACGAACGGAAATGACGCCAGGTGATTATGAGCACCATTAGCGAAGAATAAAGCAGGGAGGAAGAGCCACAATCTCTAAGGAAAGCACACTGAAGGCCTCTCCGGTAAAGGGGCGTCCGGACACCCCTGTAGGAAGGGATGGTATCTGGGGGGTGCAGTGGGACTGTGCTTGGCATGTTCAAGGTCAGGAAGACCCGTGTGGTTGGAGCAAAATGAGCAGGCGAGAGAGAGCAGAAGACAAGCTCAGAGATGAAAGGGGCCTCCCAGGCCTGGGAGAGCTCTGGCTCCGGGAAGCCACCAAAGGGCTTTGAACAGAACGTGATCTGACTTACATTTTTACATTTCTGTTTTGGCTGCGATGGAGAATAAACTGGGGGGAGCACGGGCGCAGGCAGAGATACTGAGGCGGCTACTGCCGTAGTCTAGGAGAGGATGGGTGTGGCTTGGACGAGGGTGGGTAGCTGTGAAGATGGTGGTGCGTGGTCAATTTGGGATACATTCTGAAATTAGGGCAGTATTTTAATATCTTAAAATGTGTCCATGTATACACAGCAATACAACAGAAGGTCTGGTGAAGAGAGACTAAATTTTCATGGAAACCAGCATTTGGAAATTTGCTAAGAATTAAGTTTCAGTACCTTAGAGGCGGTTAAATGTAGCTCATGCTTGCCTTCAAAGTCAAATTCAACCTTTACTACCAACTACCAAAGTAGTTTCAAGATAAGTCGCTTAACCTCTGTGCTTCAGTTCCGCATCTGTCCCTGGGGATAAAAACAGTGCCTTCCTCCCCGAGCTGTGAGAAAACCACCACCCTCGCCTGTTGTCTACCTCACGGCTCCTGCCTTCGTGGCTCTACTACATCTGTGACGTTCCTTGCATACTACTTACTCACCACCCTCCACAGTAAGTTTAAGACAAGGACTTTTCTCAGTTTTGTTCTGATGTCCCATCAGTGCCTAGAAGAGTGCAGTGCACATAGTAGGTGCTCTTTAAATATCTGCTGCGTGAATGAAAGAAGAAATGAAAACTAGAAAATGCATTGCACATAAAGTTTACTGAATAACACTATCATCTTTTGGTAAAACATGAAGTCACTTTAACGCTGGGTGCCAAGTTCAGCCTGACATGTTAGCTTCAGATGTTCTCGGTGACATAAACGTAGAATAAATGTCCTGGCTCACTGCAATGTGGGCTTGAAGGAAGAAAAAGAAGTTTTCCAAGAAGAAAGATCTCCACGGTGCTGGTATTTCCCAACCCCTACCCCCACCACTCCACAAGCAGAGGTTTTAAAAAAGAATGAAGAATCAAACTGTGTGAAATATCCTGTAGACTGTTAAGGGAGATGGAGGAGTGCAGTCAGGGACAGAGGCAGGTCCATGCAAAACATGAACTGGTAGGACCGGTCCTGACTCCCCATCTTAAAGACCTGCTGTTAAGAGAAGAACAGCCATGACTGGGCAGTGCCCGGGGCTGCCCACAGCAGTGACGCCCTTCAGTGGACTGACCACTTTCTACAGTGGTGGTGACTTCGAACTGGTTCAGCAACCTGAGGACCCTGGGAACATCTGGACAGGAGCCTCCCAAGAGAATGCTTCTGAGTAACTGCAGTTATAAAGGCCTATCCAATCAATTGGACTATTAAGAGACTTTAATCGTCCAATTTTATCACGAACAGAACATATGGGACACAAACTAAGAATAGCCCCAACATACCAAAATATTATTAAACATTTTCCTCTGCGCTTACTCTACTTTTTTACACTAAGCGTAAGACTGATATGTCTTTTAAGTTAAGCAAAAGTACTTTTTTTTAAAAAGTCTGTTTCCTCAGATGTCACAGAGAGAAAACACCAAAAGCGTAAAAGGAACTTCTAATTCCTCAACTTAGGTCCTAAACCACAGGTCAACCCAAATATACTAATAATGAAATCTCATTCCTCAAGTTTTCTTGTCTTAACTATTTCCGTTCTTACTTCGCAAATGGCATTAAAACAGGGCTTTCCCCAGAACTGTTCTATCCTAATGTAGCATGTCCTACCCTCACGCTCCTGACGAACTAAAAGTAGATTCAAGACAGAGCTACTGCTCAAAACAGCAAGGGACACTGAGGTGGTGCGAGGCAGAACCTAAGACAGGATGGGCCAAGCTGGTCTCTTATTTTTAGCACTTGGTGGGGGAAATAAATCCAAAAAACATTGTTTTCAAGTTCGTAAACAGTCATTCTACCAAAGCATCTTACTTTTCTACTAAAACATTAAATCCCTACATAAAGAAAAAAGCTTTCTAGAA